GGCCACAGAAACGTTACTTAGGGACACAGAATTGTTACTCAGGGACAGACACAGAATTGTTACTCAGGGACACAGAATTGTTACTGAGGGACACAGAATTGTTACTCAGGGACACAGAATTGTTACTCAGGGACACAGAATTGTTACTCAGGGACACAGAATTGTTACTGAGGGACACAGAATTGTTACTCAGGGACACAGAATTGTTACTCAGGGGGACACAGAATTGTTACTCAGGGACAGACACAGAATTGTTACTCAGGGACAGACACAGAATTGTTACTCAGGGACAGACACAGAATTGTTACTGAGGGACACAGAATTGTTACTGAGGGCCACAGAACTGTTACTTAGGGCCAGAGAAACGTTACTCAGGGACACAGAATTGTTACTCAGGGACACAGAATTGTTACTCAGGGACAGACACAGAATTGTTACTGAGGGACAGACACAGAATTGTTACTGAGGGACACAGAATTGTTACTGAGGGACACAGAATTGTTACTGAGGGCCACAGAACTGTTACTTAGGGCCACAGAAACGTTACTCAGGGACACAGAATTGTTACTCAGGGACAGACACAGAATTGTTACTCAGGGACACAGAATCGTTTAATTAAAGAGTATGTCAGACAACATGCACAGGAGTGGCAGAGGAGGCAATGTTTTAGGAGCGAGCAGCAGACGTGGCAGCAGAGGAAGGGGTCGAGGCAGCACTAGTCGCAGCCAGAGGCCAGTGCTCCCGGTGTCATCCAGCGGTCGTGTCTCCACCGACAACCCTGCCGTCATCGATTGGTTGGCTCGGTCGTCTTCCTCTTCCCAGGTCACCTCTGACACCTACAGCCAACGGTCGGTGGGTACGTCAGACACAACCGTTAGTTGGCATGGCCCGGGAGCAAGCCCACTGAAATCACGTGTCCTCTACCTGCCCCTGTCCTTTGGTGTTCCCTCACCAAGCGAAGTATCGCATGCTGTGGGCTCAGCCCCACTGTACAGTGAGGAAGAGCTAACAGAGGGCGGTCAGGAACGGGGGGAGACATCCGCCTCTTCAGCAGCCAGGCGAAGAAGTAGTGGCGAGGAGAGTGGCTCGGTAGACGGTCTAGAGACAGGTCTGTCTCCTGACCCACACGCAGCCGAGGGGGCTAGTAGTGAGGCGGAGACCCTAATTGATGATGATGAGGCTGATCGCACTTGGCAGCCTCGTCGTCATCAGGCTATTGCTTCCGCATCATCAGGAGAAGAGGGTGGCAGCTTGGCAGCGAGCAAAACAGTCGGTGGGTTGCCCAGGAGGCAGCAGGGTCGCAGCAGTGTCAGTGGAGGCAAACGGCCACGGAGTACAGCACCAGCTCCACTGCAGCCTACCACCACGGCCAGTAGTGGTGCCGGTGTGCACGGAGGAAGCAGCAGTCAGCCAGTGAGGAGTATCGGGGGCAAAGTTTCCTACTCGGCGGTGTGGCAATTTTTTGTCAAGCCGCCCGAGGAAGTAAACGTAGCCGTATGTCGACTATGTGGCCAGAAAGTCAAGCGTGGCCAGGGGGCCCATGTTGGGACTACAGCGTTGCGGCAGCATATGCAGCGTCACCATTTGGTGGCCTGGGAAAACCGTGATAAAGATACGGCGGTTCTGCCCGCAGCCCCAGCCCCCGCTCCATCACCCGCTCCGTTACTTGCTCTGTCACCCGACGTCAATCGCCCTCTATCAGCCAGTCAAGGCTCCAACAGCTCTGCTGAGGGGAGTTGTCGCTCGTTGCCATCTTCCGCTCGTTCAGATGCTCCTTCTCCTGCTACTCCTCTTCACGGATTCCGTCAGCAGTCTTTCTTGGAATCCCGTTTCCAAGAGACAACAGTTTGCGAGCACGCACCCGACGGTGCAAAAGCTGAACGTCCTCCTGTCCAAGTTGCTGGTGCTGCAGTCCCTCCCTTTCCAAGTGGTGGACTCAGCACCTTTCCGAGAAATGATGGCTTGTGCCGCGCCGCGGTGGAGAGTGCCAAGCCGTCATTTCTTCGCCAAAAAGGCAGTGCCAGCCCTGCATTCACATGTAGAAGAGATGGTGGGCCAGTCTTTGAGCATGTCGGTCTCTGCCAAAGTGCACGGCAGCGCGCCGACGTGTGGAGCTGTAACTACGGTCAGGGACAGTACATGTCATTTACGGCCCACTGGGTGAACGTGGTGCCGTCACAGCCGCACCAGCAACTTGGACAGGTCACGCCGCTTTTGCCTCCACGTTTGCACGTCCTTGGTCCACAAAAGATGTCCGCCTCTACCACCTCTTCTTCCTTCGTGTCCTCAGCCGCCACCCCCGTGCCAAGTCCCATTACCCGACCGGCATATCACATGTGCAGGGCGCAACGGTGTCACGCTGTGCTGCACCTGGTATGCCTTGGCGAACGTAGTCACACAGGGGAGGAACTTCTCAGTGTAATGAACAGAGAAATCGACAGATGGCTGTCTCCGCGCAAACTGAAAATCGGAACCATGTTGACCGACAACGGAAAGAACATGGTGTCTGCTTTGCGTCAAGGAAGGTTGTGCCATGCGCCATGCATGGCTCACGTGTTCAATCTGGTTGTCAAGCGGTTCCTAAAATCCACCATCCCACTGCAAGACATCCTTAAAATGTCACGTAAACTTTGCATGCATTTCAGCCATTCCTACACCTGCAAAGCACACCCTCCTTGAGCTGCAGCGGCAGAACGGAATTCCACAGCATCGCCTGATCTGCGACGTTGCAACAAGGTGGAATTCAACCCTACACATGTTAGACCGCCTTTACGAACAGCGAAAGGCCATCACCGATTTCCTGATGTTACAAGCGGATAAAGGTACTCCCCTGTGTAACTTCGATGTCAGCCATTGGCAGCTCATGCGTGACACCTGCCGCTTGCTCAGGCCCTTTGAGGAGGCCACGCTATTCGTGAGTCGGCAGGACTATGGGATGAACGACGTCATTCCTCTGTTGCACGTCCTGGAACAAATGCTGTTAACAATGGCTGGTCAGGGTGCGGTAGACGTGGCGCACAGATCTCAACGCCACATGACCCCTGTGGGGGCAGGACAGGGAAGAAGAGGAGGAGGTAGAGGAGGACATTTGTGCTCAGGAATTATTGAGTGAAATGGGTGGTTTTTCCACTCAGCGGACAGGAGTGGAGGAGCAGGAGCATCTGGTAGAGGAGGAGGAGGAGGAGACAGAGGACCCAGACGCACCGTGGCAGTATGCTGTGGAGATGGAGGCAGGAGTCCCTCGCATTCCTTGGCACAAATGGCCCATAGCATGCTCGGTTGCTTGCGTAGCGACAGCCGAATAATAACCATCAGACAGAGGGATGACTTTTTGGCTGTCCACCTTGTTGGACCCTCGCTACCGTTCAAAAATGGTGGCCTTTTTCACACCTGCTGAGAGGGAGGCCAAAATAACGTACTATAAAAACCACCTATGTAGTCAATTGGTCTCTGCCTTTGTGCGCCAACGTCCATCCTCAGACACTGTGGGCCCTGTGCGCTCGCGTTCCGCTGCCATGGCAGCAGGGGGGGGTGGGTGGTAGGAGCAGTGGTAGCTCCACCAGCAGCGGCTGCCTCAGTCTGCAGTCGATGATGAGTAGCTTTCTTCACCAGCGCAGTGAGGAAACTACTAACCAGCCGCAGCAGCAGCAGCAGCAGCATCAGGTGGACCTGGAGCAGGACCTCAAACAACAGGCTTGGGCCTACTTGGACAGCACCCTGCCAACCGAGGTAGACAATCCCCTTGACTACTGGGCAACGAAACTTGACCTTTGGCCCCAACTAGCTGAATTTGCCCTTGAAAGGCTGTCATGCCCGGCCAGTAGCGTGGCATCGGAGCGCGTGTTTAGTGCGGCAGGAGGTATTGTAACTCCGCGGAGGACACGACTGTCCACCCAAAGTGTGGAGAGACTCACGTTTGTGAAAATGAATCAGGCGTGGATTAGTCTGGATTTCAAACCACCAGTTCCTGACACAACTGACTAAATCCGCCATGAATCATGCCCCAAACATGTGCCACTTTCAGGTCTCCTCACACTGCTGGTGTGTTCCATTTTTTGTCATAGGGTGCTGGCAGATTACGGGCCTCCCATAGCTGCTGCCAGGCCCCTAATCTGCCATGGGCCCCTATACCGCCCGCCTCCTCATGCTGCTGCGAAGTCCAGAGTCTCTCATGGGTCCCTGTACGGCCTCCCATTGCTGCTGTCTCCATCGCCACACTCTGCCATGTGCCACTTTCAGGTCTCTTCACACACTGCTGGTGTGTTGTTGAATTTTTTGACATAGGGTGCTGGCAGATTACGGGCCTCCCATAGCTGCTGCCAGGCCCCTAATCTGCCATGGGCCCCTATACCGCCTCCTCATCATGCTGCTGCCAAGTCCAGAGTCTGTCATGGGTCCCTGTACGGCCTCCCATTGCTGCTGTCTCCATCGCCACACTCTCCATGTGCCACTTTCAGGTCTCCTCACACTGCTGGTGTGTTCAATTTTTTGACATAGGGTGCTGGCAGATTACGGGCCTCCCATAGCTGCTGCCAGGCCCCTAATCTGCCATGGGCCCCTATACCGCCTCCTCATGCTGCTGCCAAGTCCAGAGTCTGTCATGGGTCCCTGTACGGCCTCCCATTGCTGCTGTCTCCATCGCCACACTCTTGCCATGTGCCACTTTCAGGTCTCCTCACACTGCTGTGTGTGTTCAATTTTTTGACATAGGGTGCTGGCAGATTACGGGCCTCCCATAGCTGCTGCCAGGCCCCTAATCTGCCATGGGCCCCTATACCGCCTCCTCATGCTGCTGCCAAGTCCAGATAGTCTGTCATGGGTCCCTGTACGGCCTCCCATTGCTGCTGTCTCCATCGCCACACTCTGCCATGTGCCACTTTCAGGTCTCCTCACACACTGCTGGTGTGTTCAATTTTTTTGACATAGGGTGCTGGCAGATTACGGGCCTCCCATAGCTGCTGCCAGGCCCCTAATCTGCCATGGGCCCCTATACCGCCTCCTCATGCTGCTGCCAAGTCCAGAGTCTCTCATGGGTCCCTGTACGGCCTCCCATTGCTGCTGTCTCCATCGCCACACTCTGCCATGTGCCACTTTCAGGTCTCCTCACACACTGCTGGTGTGTTCAATTTTTTGACATAGGGTGCTGGCAGATTACGGGCCTCCCATAGCTGCTGCCAGGCCCCTAATCTGCCATGGGCCCCTGTACCGCCTCCTCATGCTGCTGTCCCAGGTCCATTGCAGTGTCTCATGCCTGCCATGTGCCACTTTCAGGTCTCCTCACACACTGCTGGTGTGTTCAATTTTTTGACATAGGGTGCTGGCAGATTACGGGCCTCCCATAGCTGCTGCCAGGCCCCTAATCTGCCATGGGCCCCTATACCGCCTCCTCATGCTGCTGCCAAGTCCAGTCTGTCATGGGTCCCTGTACGGCCTCCCATTGCTGCTGTCTCCATCGCCACACTCTGCCATGTGCCACTTTCAGGTCTCCTCACACACTGCTGGTGTGTTCAATTTTTTGACATAGGGTGCTGGCAGATTACAGGCCTCCCATAGCTGCTGCCAGGCCCCTAATCTGCCATGGGCCCCTATACCGCTCCTCATGCTGCTGCCAAGTCCAGAGTCTGTCATGGGTCCCTGTACGGCCTCCCATTGCTGCTGTCTCCATCGCCACACTCTCCATGTGCCACTTTCAGGTCTCCTCACACTGCTGGTGTGTTCAATTTTTTGACATAGGGTGCTGGCAGATTACGGGCCTCCCATAGCTGCTGCCAGGCCCCTAATCTGCCATGGGCCCCTGTATACCGCCTCCTCATGCTGCGCAGAGTCTCCTCATGCTGCTGCCAGGTCCACATTGCTGTGTCTCATGCCCATGTGCCACTTTCAGGTCTCCTCACACTGCTGGTGTGTTCAATTTTTTGACATAGGGTGCTGGCAGATTACGGGCCTCCCATAGCTGCTGCCAGGCCCCTAATCTGCCATGGGCCCCTATACCGCCTCCTCATGCTGCTGCCAAGTCCAGAGTCTGTCATGGGTCCCTGTACGGCCTCCCATTGCTGCTGTCTCCATCGCCACACTCTTCCATGTGCCACTTTCAGGTCTCCTCACACTGCTGGTGTGTTCAATTTTTTGACATAGGGTGCTGGCAGATTACGGGCCTCCCATAGCTGCTGCCAGGCCCCTAATCTGCCATGGGCCCCTATACCCGCCTCCTCATGCTGCTGCCAAGTCCAGAGTCTGTCATGGGTCCCTGTACGGCCTCCCATTGCTGCTGTCTCCATCGCCACACTCTGCCATGTGCCACTTTCAGGTCTCCTCACACACTGCTGGTGTGTTCAATTTTTTGACATAGGGTGCTGGCAGATTACGGGCCTCCCATAGCTGCTGCCAGGCCCCTAATCTGCCATGGGCCCCTATACCGCCTCCTCATGCTGCTGCCAGGTCCACAGCCTCCCATTGCTGCTGTCTCCATCGCCACACTCTGCCATGTGCCACTTTCAGGTCTCCTCACACTGCTGGTGTGTTCAATTTTTTGACATAGGGTGCTGGCAGATTACGGGCCTCCCATAGCTGCTGCCAGGCCCCTAATCTGCCATGGGCCCCTATACTACCGCCTCCTCATGCTGCTGCGAAGTCCAGAGTCTCTCTCATGGGTCCCTGTACGGCCTCCCATTGCTGCTGTCTCCATCGCCACACTCTGCCATGTGCCACTTTCAGGTCTCCTCACACTGCTGGTGTGTTCAATTTTTTGACATAGGGTGCTGGCAGATTACGGGCCTCCCATAGCTGCTGCCAGGCCCCTAATCTGCCATGGGCCCCTATACCGCCTCCTCATGCTGCTGCGAAGTCCAGAGTCTCTCATGGGTCCCTGTACGGCCTCCCATTGCTGCTGTCTCCATCGCCACACTCTGCCATGTGCCACTTTCAGGTCTCCTCACACACTGCTGGTGTGTTCAATTTTTTGACATAGGGTGCTGGCAGATTACGGGCCTCCCATAGCTGCTGCCAGGCCCCTAATCTGCCATGGGCCCCTGTACCGCCTCCTCATGCTGCTGCTGCCAGGTCCACAGTGTCTCATGCCATGTGCCACTTTCAGGTCTCCTCACACTGCTGGTGTGTTCAATTTTTTGACATAGGGTGCTGGCAGATTACGGGCCTCCCATAGCTGCTGCCAGGCCCCTAATCTGCCATGGGCCCCTATACCGCCTCCTCATGCTGCTGCCAAGTCCAGAGTCTGTCATGGGTCCCTGTACGGCCTCCCATTGCTGCTGTCTCCATCTCCCACACTCTGCCATGTGCCACTTTCAGGTCTCCTCACACACTGCTGGTGTGTTCAATTTTTTGACATAGGGTGCTGGCAGATTACGGGCCTCCCATAGCTGCTGCCAGGCCCCTAATCTGCCATGGGCCCCTATACCGCCTCCTCATGCTTTTGCGAAGTCCAGAGTCTGTCATGGGTCCCTGTACGGCCTCCCATTGCTGCTGTCTCCATCGCCACACTCTGCCATGTGCCACTTTCAGGTCTCCTCACACACTGCTGATGTGTGTTCAATTTTTTTTGACATAGGGTGCTGGCAGATTACGGGCCTCCCATAGCTGCTGCCAGGCCCCTAATCTGCCATGGGCCCCTATACCGCCTCCTCATCTGCTGCCAAGTCCAGAGTCTGTCATGGGTCCCTGTACGGCCTCCCATTGCTGCTGTCTCCATCTCCACACTCTGCCATGTGCCACTTTCAGGTCTCCTCACACACTGCTGGTGTGTTCCATTTTTTGTCATAGGGTGCTGGCAGATTACGGGCCTCCCATAGCTGCTGCCAGGCCCCTAATCTGCCATTGGCCCCTGTACCGCCTCCTCATGCTGCTGCCAGGTCCAGAGTGTGTCATGGGTCCCTGTAAGGCCTCCCATTGCTGCTGTCTCCATCGCCACACTCTGCCATGTGCCACTTTCAGATCTCCTCACACTGCTGGTGTGTTACATTTTTTGTCATAGGGTGTGTAAAATATCGTATAGTCTCGATATTTTATTAACTTGTATTGATGAGAAATGTTTAGATAGAAAGTCCTTCCACTGTTTGTATAAAACTCAAAAAGATGATTTAATAATAACGTTGCATAAAATTAGAAATAAAATATTGGCATACAGAATGGTTAAATAATGTCCAAAAAATATAGTTAAGTTCTTGATAATAAGATTGTATATATGTATATGTGTGTGTAGTGTGTGTGTGTCTCTCAAGGCTTCAAGCAATGTGAGCATAAAAAGTCTTTGTTTCAACTCTTAAATGAGCAATCCAGCCCCCACCTTTTCCTCAAAATGGGCTGATATATTTGTAGTCCCACAAAGATAATTGGAAACAGATGTATATATATATATATATAACAAACCTCCAGTCAACTTCTCTCAAAGTCTGAGTGTAACTTTATCTCTTACATAGATGGGGGAGGATGGGGGAAGGTATAGCTAATTACTCTCATATGTGGCTTGAATGTAAAGGAAAAACCCAAGATATGTATATTCACAGACTCTGAAGTCTAATTACTCACTTTTCCCAATCTAGAACAAATATAAATATAATAACTCAATTATTCTATTAAGATCCAACTCATTCATACTTATGTTAGTACTGTTAATAAGAAGATATTAGATATTTAGGTTAAGGAAAGCTTCTAACAGGGTGCTGGCAGATTACGGGCCTCCCATTGCTGCTGCCAGGCCCGTAATCTGCCATGGGCCCCTGTACCGCCTCCTCATGCTGCTGCCAGGTCCACAGTGTCTCATGCCATGTGCCACTTTCAGGTCTCCTCACACTGCTGGTGTGTTCCATTTTTTGTCATTGGGTGCTGGCAGATTACGGGTCTCCCATAGCTGCTGCCAGGCCCCTAATCTGCCATGGGCCCCTATACTGCCTCCTCATGCTGCTGCCAAGTCCAGAGTCTCTCATGGGTCCCTGTACGGCCTCCCATTGCTGCTGTCTCCATCGCCACACTCTGCCATGTGCCACTTTCAGGTCTCCTCACACTGCTGGTGTGTTCCATTTTTTGTCATAGGGTGCTGGCAGATTACGGGCCTCCCATAGCTGCTGCCAGGCCCCTAATCTGCCATGGGCCCCTATACCGCCTCCTCATGCTGCTGCCAGGTCCAGAGTCTCTCATGGGTCCCTGTACGGCCTCCCATTGCTGCTGTCTCCATCGCCACACTCTGCCATGTGCCACTTTCAGGTCTCCTCACACTGCTGGTGTGTTCCATTTTTTGTCATAGGGTGCTGGCAGATTACGGGCCTCCCATAGCTGCTGCCAGGCCCCTAATCTGCCATGGGCCCCCGTACCGACTCCTCATGCTGCTGCCAGGCCCGTAATCTGTCATGGGCCCCTGTACCGCCTCCTCATGCTGCTGCCAGGTCCAGAGTGTGTCATGGGTCCCTGTACGGCCTCCCATTGCTGCTGTCTCCATCGCCACACTCTGCCATGTGCCACTTTCAGGTCTCCTCACACTGCTGGTGTGTTCCATCCATTTTTTGTCATAGGGTGCTGGCAGATTACGGGCCTCCCATAGCTGCTGCCAGGCCCCTAATCTGCCATGGGCCCCCGTACCGACTCCTCATGCTGCTGCCAGGCCCGTAATCTGTCATGGGCCCCTGTACCGCCTCCTCATGCTGCTGCTGCCCAGGTCCAGAGTGTGTCATGGGTCCCTGTACGGCCTCCCATTGCTGCTGTCTCCATCGCCACACTCTGCCATGTGCCACTTTCAGGTCTCCTCACACTGCTGGTGGTTTCCATTTTTGTCATAGGGTGCTGTATGGCCTCCCATTGCTGCTGCCTCCACCGCCACACTGTGGCTCCACACTCTGGTTTTGGCCCCGTGACTGCCCAAATGAGTGAAGTGTGCGGTGATTCTAAGATCGACGGCACTCATCTGCATGTCATACTGACTGTCAGTATTATTTCTCTTCCCCAGCAGACTCCAAGGGCATTTAAATTAAAGGTACAGTGTTCTGCACTAATATAAAGGCTCTCTGAAGCCTAGAAACACCCTTTTATAAGTTAAATTCGCAGCGAATATATTCGACTCGAATCAAAATTTTTCCAAGAATTCGCCGAATCAGTCGAATCGAATTTTTGAATACTTCGCTCATCTCTAATGATGACCTTCCGTTGGGAGAGGGATCCCCTTTGTCGGTCTCCCTCCCTGTAAGGCTGTGTAGATGGCAATTGTCTGATCCACCTGCTCACAGATTCCATTAAACCTCCCTACACAGGAGGGTCAGCATTCTCCCTCTCTGGCAGCTCTGCAACCTTCCAGTGCACTGAACTGGCCTGGCCCTGTGTGGATCCACTCTGCTCACTCCGGCCCTCCAACACAGTCTTTCCCATCTACCCCCCCCCTCTGTTCCTGTGCTTTTTCCTTTTAAATACTCCCACCCCCTTTGCCAGTCCTCTTGGGCAGTGTAGTCCAGCTCCATCTAGTCTGAAGGAAAGAATCCTGCTTACAGCGCACAAGTCCTAGTGTCCCCAGCATTTCTGGCCAATTACAGTTCTGCATAACTGTAACATAGCACAGGGTTACATAAGTACGCAGCACATAAAAATGGCTATTCAAAGCATAAATGATTTTTCTTTTTTGTAAATGTTCTAAAATGTAACAATTTGACATTTTTTCATGCTCTCAGGATATGCTCCTTTACCATGGAGTCTCACTGCTGTAACAGCAAGGAAAATCCTTCTCTGCTCTGTCAGTGCTCTTGAATATCATTTTCCTTTAGTGACATTGCTGTTCTTGCTATGCATGTTTTTTTCTGACAATTTAGCTTGGGCTCTCATACATTATATTAGTGTCCATAAACTCTTTAGCTCATCAGCGCCTTCATGAAGTTTCAGATTGTTCATTGACCTCTAAACAGTTATTACGGTATATATAAAATTGCAGGGTTATTCCAAAGTTTTCATGGCTTCATTACTGAATACATTTTCAAATAGGCATACAGTGTAAACACATCATTTTGGTATCAGCAGCTGCCATTATTGTTGTTACAAAGCTGATTTTTTTGTAAATGCACAGCAATCAGTTCTTTGGCACCTCTGCTATAACTATTCTGGCACTTCACTGGCTCTCCAACAGACTCTGAGGTGAGCAAGTATGCTCAATAAAGGAAGTGAATATATATATACTGTATATATCCAAACCAGAGGGGGGAGGATGGAGGGTCATATGTACACAACTCAAAACAGGTTGGTAGATGAGACCAGTAACAATACGCATCTGAATGAAACAACAAAAGGGGTTCTCACACTGGTGGCTGACCATGAAACCCTGGGTAACACTATCTCACCACTCACGTTCAGGGCTGGGGACTGGTATGAAGCTCAAACAGAAACCTCAAAAGAATATTTGAACCCAGTTGTCCTTTCATCATTTGTTGACCACCTACTGGTTCCCTTTTTTGTCCAAACGTTTTATCAACCACTAGGAGAGTCATATTGACCATTGGGGGTCAGTATTGACCACATTGGGGACCCCTTTGTGTTATATGGATCCATTTATTGCCTCTCTCTCCCCCATTACAGTTTTTTTACTGCTTTGTTTCTGTCTCTCCATTAAATTTTATTTTGTTATTTTTAAACCCACTTTAGGATAAGACAAAAGTATCTACAGCAGTGGCCAAGAAGCTCTCAGCAAAAGAGACCATGCGCTCAGTCAATGGAGGACCCGCTCACCTACCATGTCCAAGTAAGGAATCTGAGAGAGAAGTAGAGATTCGTCTACTGCAAGTGGAATGTGATGAGCTGAGAAACAAGACTTGGATGTCTAAAGGTAGGTAAAAAAACTCTCTCTTTTGGCAAGGGCTTCTAAACAACTAGAGAAAAATCTTATTTGTGCTGATAAGCATCTTCTACATATCCGTCCTGCATCAGTCTTTTTCCTTTCCTCCATCACCCTCCATAGTAAATGTATTCTCTACCTGCCAAAAACTTTAAGCCTATCATCTCTTTCTAATTTGACTCAACACATGGGAAGAGTAGAGGGAGCTTAAAAAAACTGATGTAGAATGAAGTCTCTTGGGAAAATGTCATTAAACGGACAAAGTAGACCCAATTCACAGCCCAAAGTCAAGAAAACTGCTTCTGTGGAAATAAAAGGCTCCAAAAACCATTTTAACTCCCTAGGAAATGCCATAATATGCAGTACATCAAACAGAGGAATAACATATACAAAAAGTAACAGGTCCTCTTTACTGCTGTACTTTGGACTCAAGAAAAAATGTTTTTAAACTGATTGAACAATGGCCATTTTAACAAAGCTGATATTTCATGTTTTTTAAAAAATGCTACAAAATTGAACCTCCCACCATTTTTTGTTCATGTTATTATGGTGCGCTGCTTGCTGTAGTAGTAAAAATGAGTGTTTTATGTATGTCTGTATTAATGTGTGTAAGTATGTTGTATGTGATGTTCCTAGTTCATTCCTGGCTCTGTGTAGCCAATCTTTTACCAATCTGTAATTCATGGTGGTTACTCTGGCTGGGAGGTTACTATCCTATAGAAATCTTTTCATACATGTGACCCTTAATGAAATAAAAGCCCATCAATGACAGTAAAAGTGAAAGACAGAGCACAGTAAAGACCTTTTTCTCCACTCATGACAAGGATACAGCTCAAATCAATTCTAGGAAGGTATAAAGAGGCACACGAGAGTCAGACGACTGTATACCAGGAAAGGCCACATTTTAATACAACCAATCAGGGCATTCTTTGCTTGTGTATTGTACTTAGGAAGTTCCATTTTCATTTAGCAGAACACTTTTTGTAAGTTTGGAGGGCTGATACTTTTTCAGTGCAGCAGAATGGCCTTACTAATTTGAAGGAGAATTAGCCAAACCATTGTGTGTGTATGCACAAGTGATACAAAAGTCATGGAATTTCAGGTGGATTTTTGGTACAGATAATAGATTGTTACAGAAGGTAACAATGCAAGGACAAATCCAAAAC